ATTCATTGTTCTAAGTTATATAAGTAGGACAATTGCTGGTCATAGTTTAACTTTATAACAAAGTGAATCTAACAGTTTCCGAAGTGATTACATTTTTCACTTTCACCAACAATGTATGAATTCTGATTTCTGTAATTAGCCATGTTAAACATTTGACATTGTCAGTCTTCTTAATGTCACACCAATTTTAATGGATGTGAAGTGATATCTTATTGTGTGGTATCAGTTTACATTTCTCTGATGACTAATGGTGAGTACCATTTCATAAGCTTACCGGACATTTCTATGTATTCTCTCGTAATGTGTCTGCTTGAGACTTACCTATTAAAAATTGGATTGTTTTCATTTTTATTATTGATTTCTAGCAGTTTTGAAAATGTATTTGATGTATGACAATTTTTTAAAAAAAGATTTATTTATGCATACAAGAACTGGGGTACAGGCCAGAGGGTGTGGGCGTGAGAGGATTCACCAGAGACAGAGTAGGGAACAGATCAGGTGGATTGACTGAAGTACATTGCTGAGGGGAGCAGCAGCTGAGACAGGAGAGGTCTGCTGCACCATTGGGTTGCTCCCTGGCAGGCCGGGGCTTGAACTCGTGCTGCAGTGGTTGCAGATAGCTTCATAGGTTGCGTCTTAACCCCTTGCGCCACCAGGGAGGCCCTGATGTATGACAATTTAAAGATTTTTTTATTCTTTTTTTTTTTAATTGTAGGTCTTTTTTTTAATATTTTATTTTATATAATTCTTACATCATTTTTCATTTTTGCACAATGTATGCATTTCATTTTGGTTATATTCCCCATACAATTGCACCCCCCCATTATTTTGATCCTATTTCTTCCTCTCCCCACCTAACCCCCTGTAGTGTGTCTCTGGTTTATAGTTGCTTGTTGATTTTGATTTTTACTTTGTATTAATTAATAAAACCCTTATTTAGGTTTTCTAAATTCCTGCTATGAGTGAGACCATCCAGTATTTTTCTTTTTCTTTCTGACTTACAAGAAGTATTTTATTCTTAATAATACAAGAAGTATTTTATTCTTAATAATAATAATACAAGAAGTATTTTATTCTTAATATCAACATGTATTTTCTGTAGTACAAAATTTTATTTTTGTTCTGTTTAGTTTATCTGTTCTCTCTGTATACCATGCATGAATGAAATCATACAGTGTTTGTCTTTGTCTGGCTTATTTCACTGAACACAATACCCTCTAGGTCCATTCATGTTGTTTAAACTTGGTAAGATTTCATCTTTTTTTTTTTTTTAATCCCTAAATGGTATACCATGGTATAGAATACATATTCTTCACCCATACATTAATTGATGGGCACTTCCTTTGTCTTGTTTTGTACACTGTAAATAGTGCTACAATAAACATGGGGGTGCATCTATATCTTTGAATTAATGTTTTTATAATTTCTAGATAAATATCCAAAAGTGAAAGAACTAGATCATACCGAATTTCTATTTTTAACTTTTTGCGGAATATCTATCCTGATTTCCATAATAGCTGCACCAATTTAAATTCCCAGCAGCTGTGTATAAGTATTCTCTTGTCTCCACATCCTCTTCAACATTCATTCTTTCTTTTCTTTTGGCAAATAACCGTTCTCATAGGTGTGAGGTTTACATTTCTCTAGTAATAAGAGATGAGAAGTTATCTTTTCATGTGCCTATTGGTCAACTTTGTGCCTTCTTTGGAGAAGTCTCTATTCAGGTCCTCTGCCCATTTATTGACTGAATAATTTGTAATTATATTTATTTATTTTTAAAAAAGATTTATTTATTTATACGAGAACCGGGGTACAGGCCAGATGCACGGGAGGGTGAGAGGATTCACTAGAGACAGAGTGGGGAACAGATCAGGCAGACTGATGAAATACACTGCTGAGGGGAGTAGCGGGCATGGCAGGAGAGGTCTGTCACGCCATGTGGGACCCTCGCCTGGTGGCCAGGGATTGAACTGGTGCTGCAGAGGCTGCAGGCAGCTTCTCAGCCCAGCACTCAACCGCTGCGCCACCAGGGGAGGCCCCCTAATATATGCTTTTTAAACAGAGCTTCCTATTCACTAATATAACTGCATTATAAAATTTTTATTTTTTAAAAATATTGTTGATCAGTTTGAAATATTTTAAAATACTTTAAAATTTCCCCTCTGATTTCTTTTTTTTTTTTTTAAACTGGATTATTTAGAAGTATGTTGTTTAATTTCCAAGTATTTTGGAAATTTCTTCTTTCTTTTTTCTAAATGAATGTCAAATAGGTTAAAAACATAATCTGTGTAATTTCATTTCTTTGGAATTTGAGGCTTATTTTCCCCCTTCAGTATGTGGTCTGCTTTGGTGACTATTCAAAATGTATTACAAAAGAATATATCTTCTGCTATTAGTAGGTGGAATGTCTGTAAAGGTCAACGAGGCAAAGCTGGTTGGTAGTGTTTTTTAAACCTTTTGTTACCATTATTAGATTTTATGTCTAATTCAATAATTACTGAAAATTGGATATTAAAATTTCACATTATAATGATAATTCGCCTATTTTTTATTTTTTGCTTTGTGTATTCTTAACCTTTATTTTTTGATGTTTACACATTTAAGGTTTTTATATCCTGGTGTGTTTCCCATTTTATTATTATAAATTTCATAATAATTCTTTTTTGTTGCCTTTCTCTATGTAATATGTCCTTTTTCTCTGCCTAGTTTAATATGTCCTTTTTCTTTGCCTAGTTTATATTGATTTTCAACTGATTGAGTATGATGCTTTTTATCATGCTTGGGACTTGTTGAACAAGGGGGGATTTTTCTGCTTGTAAAAATATGCTCATTTTCTCGGTAAATATTTTTCTTTCATTTTTTCTACTTGAAAATTTAACTACTTTTATGTGGAATCAAGATCATTTGATATTGTCACATAGATTTCACACGTTTTGCTTTGTTTCTATTGATTTGTCGTCACATTTATTGATCTTTTCCTCTTATGTATAAAGGTAAACCCACTGCATGAAATCTTTTTTTTTTTTAAGATTTATTTTATTTATTTGTGCATATAAGAACTGAAGTATAGGCTATAGGTGCGGGGGTATATGTGTATGTCTGTCTGTGTCTATGTGTGAGTGAGAGGATTCACCAGAGACAGAGTAGGGAGCAGAATAGTTAGATCTACTGAAATACATTGCTAAGGGGAGCAGCGGGGCAAGACAAGAGAGGTCTGCTGCACCATGTGGGTTAGCTCCCTGTCTGGGGATGGAACTCTTGCAGCTGTGGCTGTTGATAGCTTGATAGCACTGAGACTTAACCCCTGTGCCACCAGGGAGGCCCTGCGTGACATCTTTTCTGATATAGTTCTTATTACATGCATTACAGTTTGTATTTTTTAAAATAGCTTTTTCCTCTCTTTTCAGAAGTTGCCAATATTTTTATACATCATTTTCCATCTTATTCAAGATATCTTTTAACATATTGATCATAGACATTTTGTAGGCCCTATTTGATGTTTCAGTTATTTAGATCATTGCTGCATGTGCTTATATTGAGTGCTTTTCTCTTATTTAAAGTTTGTTTTCTTCTTATATGTTAGGATATATCTTCCAGGTTTTTGTATTTCCCAGTTCTATTTTCCTCTCTTCTTCTTTTTTTCTTTCTGCTTTTTGCTATTTCTTGCTCCATTATTGTGAAGGACTGGAGTGTTTGGAGACACTTCTCTCAGTATTTTTGCTTCTCCTCAAGCTTCCAGCAAGCCACTTCTTTGTATTTGAGGAATTCCTGCAGACTTGAACAGGGAAGGGGAGGGAGATGTCTCTCTAGGCTGTTACACACTTTTCTCAATTTTCTCTGTATATTTACTCCATGGGCTCAGTTAAGGCTGGTGGGGAAGTGTTGCTGAGTGGGGGTCTTATTCACTCTTTAGCTAGAACCCCTCAGCATTCTAATTTGTCACATCAGCTTTAATTGGTTTCTTGGATGTTAAGGCATGTTATGGTAATTGCTTTCTTACATAAATGCTATGGTTTCTTGTATCTATTTCTTCTGAGCAATGCTTAATTTCTGCTAGGAATAAAAACAACCTTGAACCTCTTCTATCTTTAATCCTTTATAAGATATGAGGAGTTAATACTCCTTTAAAATCTCTCTTCTCTACTGGGTTTGAAAAAAGGCTTTGGTTTTGTGGTTTATACGACATGTTTTCATTCTTGGGAGTGATGGCTTCTTACAATTTACCACATACTAACCAGAAGTGAAGATCTACGGTTAATTTAAAACACATTAATGTCCAATGACTTGAATGTTTATGTATCAAATAAAATAGATCTTAGTATTTATAGTTACACATTATTGAAAAATTAAATCCTATAACTTGCTTTTGTTATATAAACATTTTCACCTGCTACTCAGTATTTCTTAAACATAAATCCATATTTACAAGATTTGCTAACTCATTATTAAAAATAATTTGATAAGACTCAAAAGGGACGCTAAAAGGAGGAATTCTAGTAAATATTTTGAGCAAAGTTCAATAGTTGAGAAAAGTTATACTTTTTTCAGGAAAATAATACAAGATTATCCAGAGTCATCTTCAAAATTTAAATTATTTTAATTCAGGTAACATTAGGATCTTCCCCATCAAGTATCACCATTGTAGTACACCCAGTACCAAATCACCCATAGTCCTCACCATAGTTGGTTGTGCTTCTTTTTCTTTGTTCTTGCCTCTCCCCTTCATGCTCACCCCACCTGGATACTTACATTCTGTAGTCAGTGCTCAAGGGTTACTTTTGAAACTTGTATATCTAACCCTTAGTTTGGTTTCCCTTTATGCCACATATTTGCTGGCTCTTAAAATTTGGCTATTTAAGAGATAGCTAAATTAATTCTAAGGATTGTCAAATTTGATGGTACACTATTGGGTAATAGTTAAAAATTAAATTTATAATGCCTTGGTGTTTGTCTTTATTTTTAAAATATAGTTAAGTTTACTTTTTTCTTTTTTCTTTTAGAAATCCTGAAACCAACATATTAGAACAAAAACAAAGCATGGCTCACCATATTATATTTCTTTGGATCGTTTTGGTCCTGCTGCTTCAGCATTCTGTATTAGCCGAAGATGGGGAAATAAGATCAAGTAAGAACTATCAGAACTGTCCATTTTTGCTGTCTACAAATTGTTTGTGGAAATCAATTTAGGGGAGTACAAGCAGTGGCCATAAGGATCTTACTGTCTTTGGTGCTGTACTTCCCTAAATAAATGGTTATATTATGAACTAACAGAGGAAAAACTTCAATCGAGATATTGGGAGAAAATGCCATGGTAATTGTTTATTCTGTTAGCTCACCAGATTTTGGAATAAATCATCTGGTATAAAATCCATGTTCAACCATTTATGAAGTTCCTGATATGAAGAGAAAGGAAGCATCTGCCTCATAGAATGGTTTTCAAGGCTATCACATTTGGTTATCTCATAGAGATAATTAGATAACCCATGTAAATGAGATGATGTATAAATATGGCTTGGCACAGTGACATTTCTCAATAGGTAAATGGTGACATTAATTCAGATTGCCTGTAGAAAGTTGGCACTGGAGAATGAGAGCAGGGTTAAATGTAGTTCTGCTACCAAGGCCATCCTTTACAGATATACTGCTTTTTAAAATGTTTGCTTATCTCCATATTTATAACTAACAAAGGCAAATATCTTAATATAAATTAAATATGGTTTCTATAAAAATAGTCATTTGGTTTGAAAACTTGATTTAACCAGCATAAAATTTATTAAATTTATTTAAAATTTGCACACTTCTTTAGTTTCATCTACCTAAGCACCTTTCTGATTTTGTCATTGGCAAGAGATTCACAAAATTTAGGGGCTTATAGCTGGTTAGTGTCATATAGCTGGTTAAAGCTGGAGCTAGTATTTAAACTATTCTTTTGATCATCAATACATTCCTTCTGCATGACACCAGTAATTCATCTCACTAAGGAGGAAGTCCCTTGGAGTGGTATTTTGTCTGGGGTTTATAAATGGCAGTACTTGCTTTTGTATCCATGCTCTTGGCTAACCTTGCAGTTATGAAATATATGAGCAATGGCTCTGGAAAGGGGTTGGAAGAGCCAAGAATAACCTTGTGAGAATTTATAACCACTGAATTAAGTGGCATACAAACATGAGCAGGTTCAGACAATACTGAGTCTCATAGCATTTAGGAAGGACAACATTTCAAAGTTCTTCAAATATAACTTTCATGTCCTTTCTTCTTCCCACAAAACCCCAATAAAAGCATATCTCAGCCTAGTTTCCAAAAATAATAAAATAACTCTATTCCCTTGAGTTAGAAAATCTACCTCTGGGCATAATTCCATTCTCCTGTCCCTGCCCTGAACCCTGGCCCTGTCACCATGGCATGGTTGTTGGAACAGTGTCTCTCACCCTTTTGGATTTTACCACCACCTGCTCTATGCTCGATGACACTTTAGAAGTAATGCCATAATTATTGTTACAGTTTTGAGACAAATTCTTGTTTTGGGTAACTTCTTGAGTTTTATACTTGTTCACATGACAGTAGTGTTCACTTTTGCTCATCACTCTAATGAGTGAGTTGAAATCACTCAAAAATTGAGACCTTTTCATGTGAACCTTGTCATTATCCCAGTTTTATAAGAAGGTAAAGATGAGGAAAAGAATTGAAGGAAAGGAGGGAATGAAGAAGGGAAGGGAAGCGAGTGAGGGAAAAATGGATTTACTGTTATGGAGATGCAAAAGAATGGTAATATTGTCACTAAACCCTTTTGCAGTACCATCCCTTATAATTATTATATATTATTTGCAACATGTACAGGAAATAAATCATAACTAATTATAATTTCAAAGTGGGCACCTGATCGCTACTTAAGGAGAACTTTAATATGAATAAAAACATTAGACCTAAATTTATTATAATATTACCTTGCTTCATCTCATAGTCTTCCAACTTATCTCCAGGGAGATGTGGGTCTTAAACAATAGTAATCTTACTGCTTTGACTGCTGAACTTAAAGAAGAAGAAGGCAGGTGGATCTCTTCCTGCTGTGGATCAGTTTGTCATTTCAAACTTTTGGAAAGTACCCAAACCAGTTTGTTATTTGGTCTGTGTCAGTCTCTCATCTTTGAACTTTTGACTTGGCTCTTCTGTATGATGAAAATATCCTCCTCTTCATTTGGCTAAACCTTTCCTCTCAGATTTCAGATTGCCTGACGGTTTTCCAACAAAACCTTCCCTGACTTTCCACATTTGAGTTTTAAATGTTCTCATAATACTTTGTATTTTCTCTAACCAGAGAGTCATATGTCTCACTAGGCACTGAGCTTTTTGAAATATCTCATGCATCTTAGAAACTAGTACATAGTATGGCATCAGGCACACGTTAGCTTATTCAACATAGACAATGAAAGAGTAAAATAGGGTTAGAGAGTTGCTAATACTACAGAAAAGAGAGTTAAGATTGTTTTCTTTTTCTTTCTGCAGATAGAACTTGTCTAGGTAGACCTTGCACTAGAAGATAGTCTTTTCCCTTGATAAGTTAAAACAATGATATTAGTGTATAATTGAAAATTGTGCATTTATTTATTTTTGTGTTTTCATTTATTCAATGGAGAAATAAAATAAAATGTTACTTAATGGTAATATTGCAGCTACAAAGAGATATTTGGATACCATATTCCTATACAGCCTGCATTTGTTATTTCCTGTTTTAAAGATGAACCACTGATCCTTAAATGATTAAAAAAAAGAAAAATATCAGGGGCCTCCCTGGTGGTGCAACTGGTTAAGCACCACACTATGAAGCAATCTGCAGCCTCTGCAGCATGAGTTTGCTCCCCCGCCCACCAGGGAGCAACCCACGTGGCGAGGAAGACCTCTCCTGACTCACCCACTGCTCCCCTCAGCAGTGTATTTCAGTCAGTCTGCTTGTTCTGTTCCCCACTCTGTCTCTGGTGAATCCTCTCACCGCCTGCATCTATGGCCTGTACCCCAGGTTTTGTATGCAAAAATAAATAAATCTTTTTAAAAAAAAGAGAAATATCAGCAAAAACAAAGCCCTTATTTATGAAGAATTGTTAATGAGCAAGACAGCATGTCTTATATAATCCTTGCAAACCTGTTGTGAAATGGTTACTGTTGTCTTTTTTTAGTTTCAGCTTTATTGAAGTACAATTGGCACATCAAATTGTAAAATATTTAAAATATATACTGTGATGATTTGATGCATGTGTATATTGTGAAAGGATTTCGTCCATCCAGTTAATTTGAAAAGACCATGCGTTGAAAACCTTTTGCTTTGTATATAACACATGTGCTTTGATGCTTTCTTTTTTACCCAGGTTGTCGTACTGCTCCAACAGACTTAGTTTTCATCTTAGATGGCTCTTACAGTGTTGGTCCAGAAAACTTTGAAATAGTGAAAAAGTGGCTTGTTAATATCACAAAAAACTTTGACATAGGACCCAAGTTTATTCAAGTTGGAGTGGTCCAGTATAGTGACTACCCTATACTCGAGATTCCCCTTGGAAGTCATGATTCTGGAGAGAGTTTGCTGACAGCCATGGAATCCATTAACTACTTAGGAGGAAACACCAGAACTGGAAAGGCCATCCAATTTGCACTTGATAACCTCTTTGCCAAGTCCTCGCGATTTCTGACTAAGATAGCAGTAGTACTAACAGATGGTAAATCTCAAGATGAAGTCAAGGATGCAGCAGAAGCCGCAAGAGACAATAAAATAACATTATTTGCTATTGGTGTTGGCGCAGAAACAGAAGAAGCAGAGCTTAAAGCTATTGCCAACAAGCCTTCATCTACTTATGTGTTTTATGTGGAAGACTATATTACAATATCCAAAATAAGGGAAGTGATGAAGCAGAAGCTTTGTGAAGGTAAGCCTTAATATAATTTGGAAACAATTGGACTTTCTTACATTTTAGGATAACAATTCCTTTACACTGGTATAAATATATTTAATGCAAGTTATTTATAATATAATAATTGAAGAAAATTTTATATTATAATTAGTGCATATATTTTTTTTAAAAATCACTTTCTTATGAAACCTATAATTGGAAAATAATAATTTTGTTATGTCTGTTGTTTTTTCTCTCCTTAAATTACAAAATACTTACTGTGGGCATAGTAGAAAATAAAAGTTGTAAGAATGAAAATATATGTAACATATGATCATATACTATTGTTGATGAGTTTTTACTGTTTTAGTTCAAAACCCAAAATCTTAGGGACTGAAGAGAAAAATACCTCTTTCTAGCAAAACATACAATTTATTCATATTAAAATTTAATTCCATTTCTACTATGGTACAAGTATGGCTGTACTTTTTATTAAATTACAAGTGTGATACCTTTACATTTCCATCATGTTATATAAGAGGGTGATTATCTTAAAATAAGTTTGGTAGAATTTGCCCTTATTTATTCTGTTAATTGCTCTGTAAAATATAAGCTGTGTTTCTCAATGTGAAAATTACGTGAAAGACCTTGGAAAAATCTGAAAATTGCAATATTTCTATAGTATAACAACTTAATAGGATTTCAACCCTATAAAAATTTTTCATGTAATTTGAGACACTAGTTTCTTAGAGAAATGAAAAACAAATAATGTTTTTGCATATTGGCTGTATAATGCAAATCTTAATGATTGTTAGGGAATAGTCTTTACTTGTTTATAAATATTATATATAACATAATTAGTCATAGGTGATACAATATAGGCATTTGAAGAATTTCCATTAACAGAAAAGACCCAGGTTAGGTTTTCCAAAATGATAGAATCAAGGATATTTGAACTGTAGAAAATATAAACTGCTAAAACAGGCAAGAATATCAAGAACAATATATATATTTTACACTTCAAATGCTGGAAATGCATGAAAGGAATCTTAGTTTTCATCTAAAGTTACTTAAGATCATGTGATGAATTAGCAGCAAATACTGCTTTAGGATAATAAATCCTATGCCAGTGTTCATCTATCTTCTAGATGTTGGGTAGGCTCATATTCAAAATAGGGAATTATAAACCTCATACTAGTGCTGCCCTTAAAACAATCCATTTACAAATGCTCCTCTTATATATTTGCTTTACTTTTTAATCACCTCTTAGGGGAAAAACAGACATTGAGACTTGACACTCAGATGCCAGAAACACTCTCACATATTTTCTTGGAAAATGTATTTTCATTTGTGTACATACATAGATTTTGTCATTCTTATGTTCATGAATATTTACCCCTTGGTTTTTCATTCCTTGTTGAAGTAAATAATGATTTATTGACTTTTACTGCTTTTGTGTTTCCTTTGTAGAATCTGTCTGTCCAACAAGAATTCCAGTGGCAGCTCGGGATGAAAAGGGATTTGATATTCTTTTAGGCTTGGGGGTTAAGAAAAAGGTTAGGAAAAGAATCCAGCTTTCACCAACAAAAATAAAAGGATATGAAGTAACATCAGCAGTTGATTTATCAGAATTCACAAGGTAAACATTTTATGTTGCTACATGAAGTTTTACGTCTAAAATGTGTTGACAATACTTTAAGCTTACAAATGTTCTTCTTTTCCTAGCAATGTTTTCCCAGAAGGACTTCCTCCTTCATATGTATTTGTCTCCACTCAAAGATTTAAGGTCAAAAAAATTTGGGATTTATGGAGAATTTTAACCATTGATGGAAGACCACAAATAGCAGTTACCTTGAATGGTGTGGAAAAAACTTTACTATTTACAACAACCAGTGTAATGAATGGCTCACAAATTGTCACTTTTGCTGACCCACAAGTTAAGGTACAAATGCCTGGGTATGATCATTGTATTCTTTGGGAAACACCTCTTCTTGTGTATGTTGGCGAAAGAGAGCCACAGTTTTAATATGACTAAGAGGATATTGACTTCATCTTTTAATGGTGCGTTATTGAACAAAAGCAACAAAGGAAGGAAATATGACATTAAGGTATGGGGGAATTAAACATCTTTTTAGTGCCTGCTCTTAGGTGCCAGGTAGATTTAATTATAATCATCCACAAAAAGAAGATACTGCTCTCATTTCAAGAACAACACCACCAAAAAAGTTCAAGTATTAATATCCCCTCGAAGTATTATAGCTAGTAAGTGGAAATGTCAGAAAATGAATTTAAATCTCATCCAAATGTCAGAAAATGAATTTAAATCTCATCCATATGAAATTATGCATTTATGTAATGTCTTTATTTGGTAAGGTGATTACGTGAAAAATAATTTATTTTCTGTTATAATTAAAGACAATATGCTAGATTCTGTATGAAATGGTAAATAAATAAGGTTTGTTTCTTGTCTTTCATGAACTTATTGTTTAAGATGAGGGAGTCAAGATTTCTGGTATCTAGCAGAGGTACAATGTGTTGGTGGAGTATGGAGAGAAAAATGGATTGTAGTAAAAGCTATAGGGAGTTCTTCAAAATGAGATGGTTTTTGAATTGGATTTTGAAGAAAGTATGGGATTTTGATGGAGAGGGATACAACTTTATTAAGTCAGGGGTTCTGTATTAAGCAGTCATACATAACAAAATACAAGGTTTTTGTTTAGGGAATGAAAAGTGGTATCCTCTGGAGCATAGATTGATGAATGAATAAGTATGAGCTCAATTTGTGGAACCTAGAAACCTTTGCAAGGAGATTTGGACTTCATCTAGTAGATGACAGGATTCCATCAAAATGTCTTCATCATAGACTTGTCATGGTCAAAATTGTGCTTGCGCCCCCCCCCCCTTTTTTTTTCCTTTCAAAAACAATAGTAATAATACTTTCACCTAGATTGTGGAGTTTGTGCTAGGTAATATGAATACAGAAATTAATGAGATGATGCATCCTCTCTGACAAAAGTTTAATGAGATAGATTAGTGGCATTATGAAGGCACTCTCAGAGAAGGAGGAGTTGTAGATATGTCTGAAAATTACTTGAATTTTTTCAAGATATTCATGATCCCTAATTATGGCAATGAGAATGGAAATGGATCATTTTTAAGAGATGTTTAATAGAACTTTAAATATAGATGTTATTGCAACTGAGAGAAAGGTAGGAGTTAATGAAACTTACTATGGTTTAGGAACTTAGGATACTATTATTCAAGGGAAATAGGAGAGAAAGAAATTTTGGGTTATAGTTCAAGTTCATTTTATCACATATTATGCCAGGCTGATTGTGAGTCATCCTGCCAAAGTTATTTTAGCCAGTGTTAGAAAATTAGGTACTATATCTAGGCAAAAGGTCCAAGTAGTTGATGTAGCTATGGAAATTGTTTCATAGAAGTAATTTTTGACCTGTAGATATTGGTGGTATAATAAAAGGGCAGAATGAAAGAAGTCATGCACAGATTTCTGAGGAATGCCCTTGACTGAGGGAGGGCAAAGAATTATAGAAGGAGAAGCTATGGAAGAAAATAAATGATGATTTTGAAGATTGTTTGAATCATGGAAACTGAGTAAGAATATCAAGAAGGATGGACTAGTTGCAGGTCCAAAGTTGCAAATAGATGAGGAATGGGAGGCCATTTGGATTCAGAGATTAGAAATTTATTTATGACTTTCAGGGAGTTGTTATGATAAATTATTTAACACAACTACTGGTGGATATTGAATGGAAACTAAAGTGGGTATTAATGCACTGATGGGTAGCATTTGAGGTCCTTCCTGGGTGAGGTAAATTATATTATAAAACAACCAGTCTGTATAGTGTGAATTTTCTTAGCAATGGTTGCTGGCAAAGGAATGGAACAAAGAAATAAGATTATTAGAAATTAAATTTGTGATTCTTTCATACTTTCTATAGACACTATTTGATGAAAACTGGCATCAAATTCGTCTTTTAGTAACAGAAGAGGATGTTACACTATATATTGATGATCAACAAATTGAAAACAAGCCCTTACATCCAGTTTTAGGGATCTTTATCAGTGGGCAAACACAAATTGGAAAATACTCCGGGAAAGAAGAAACTGTTCAGGTAGATAAATAATGATTTGCTTTTTTGCATTCTATAAAATGGAGGTTTTGTTGTCCTTTGTAATAGTATTTACTTATTTTGGCTGTACTTACTTAGCTGTGTTTTCCTTTAAGATACTTAATAAGAATACATTAACTTCATTAATAAAGTTGAGGTTAAATTAAGTGATACATATAGATAAAAAATGTGATTAGTTTCAGAGTAGGAAGTTATAAAGGATTCTTAACAGCTGTAAGGATAAAATCAGATTAACTCACTGCGGTTCCTCATAAGAAATATGATATTTTTGTTATCTCTTTAAACTGTTGAATATATGTATAGTTTGAGAAGTGTGTATGTAAGAGATGATTAGTTCTTGAAAAGCCTGTATTTGAAAAGTATGTTTTTCCTTTTTTGTTTCTATTAAAGCAAAGACTGTGACATTGAATTGTATGATTACATATGTAGTCACTATATGTTAATAGCACATGTCAAATTGTGGTAAATAAATAGTAACAGATGCTGGGCCTCACTCATCACACAGCAATCATTCCAGCAACTAAATCTCTGAAACTAAACATGGCTTTTTTGCACCCACCCTATACAATCAGGAATGTAATAGAGTTTTAGAATAATCACTGAGAGCCTGGGAAAGCTTTTCAGTGATGTGAAATGCTCTTTAGAATAGTTGTTACGCTGTGGAAGCTTCAATAGTTTCCTGAAGGAAATCAGAGATATCTTTTTGGTTTTAGGGAATGTTACTAAAGTTGAGGAGCTAGGTGAGCTTGTATCTTTGTACTTTATGACAGCATTCAAATACTGTATTTTTATTCCTATGATGTAAACCTCACATAATTACTACTATAGTGACTCTATGTATCTGAGTTGCTCTTATAAAAGAATTAGCTTGTGCTTCAACTTGAGATTTTTTTTTATTTTTGCGTAGAAGATCTGGGGTATAGGCTGGAAGTTTGGTGGGTGAGAATATTCACCAGAGACAGGGTGGGGAGCAGAATGGGTGGATTTACTGAAATACACTGATGAGGGGAGCAGTGGGCAAGGCAGAAGAGGTGTGCTGCGCCTGTGGGTTAGCTTCCTAGCCGGGGATCAAACTCAGGCCGTAGGGGTGATAGTGCTGAGACTTAACCCAGAGGCCATGATTGAGGCCCTGTGTATCAACTTTGACATGTTGGGTTTATATTCTTAGTTTGATGTCCAAAAGTTGCGCATCTACTGTGACCCAGAACAGAACAACCGGGAGACAGCATGTGAGATTCCTGGATTTGTGAGTAGGACTGATTATTTTTTCCAAGTGTTGCCTAAATACTTATAGAAAAATACATAACAATCAGATAATATGTGAGCCTTATTTAAAATATAAAGTTAATTTGTTCTTTAATTTTTAATGAAAGCAAACTATCATGTGTTCCATTACTAAAATAAAATTATAGTGTCATTGTGTACATTTGAATGACAGACCCCAAGATAATGTTTTTCCCACATCAATCTCTGATTGTGACTTTTCCTATTATAAATTTGGTAATTACATGTATAAGAAATTTTTTAGAATGGTTGGAAACAAATATTTTAGCTTTTGCTGGTTTAGATTTTTTGGTATTTTGTACATCTTTAACCTGGACAATGAAGTAGCTCTACCTTAAGAAAATAATTTAGACATTTAATTAAATGCATGTTTTAATGCAGATTTGTTTTTGATTCTTTCAGAATGGCGAGGTAGGCATGGATGCTATTATTCTTAAGGTAATCTATGCCTTGTGGAAATGTTTCATTTCCTTCCATCAACTGTAAGTATATTAGACAAATAGAACCCATATTTTATGTGACTTAAGTGTAATTGATATTCACGGCTCTTTGTGATTTGGAATTTCTTATTTAAATAAAAACTAGAAAGCAATGGTAGGCTATCTTACTGTTTCAACCAACCTGCAGACCCATACACATGTACATAAACATATATGTGCATTTTCTTTTTTTTTAAGATCTATTTATTTATTTATACAAGAATCAGGGTACAGGCCAGATGCGTGGGAGGGTGAGAGGATTCACCAGAGACAGAGCGGGAAACAGAACAGGCAGACTGAAGAAATACACTGCTGAGGGGAGCAGCGGGCCTGAGAGGAGAAGTCTGTGTGCCGTGTGGGACCCTAGCTGGCTGGGATTGAACCTGTGCTGCAGAGGCTGCAGACAGCTTCACAGCGCGGTGCTCAACCGCCTGCGCCACCAGGGGAGGCCCCATATATGTGTATTTTCATGTTCATTGTTTATTTCCATTTTGTCTTTGTAGTGCCTGAATGGTCCCAGTGATGTAGGTTCAACTCCAGCTCCCTGCATTTGTCCTCCTGGAAAACCAGGACAACAAGGTCCCAAAGTGAGTAATACCCAACTTGCTATTTTTGTTAAAACATACAATCTGAACTAAACAAAGGCTTACCATTCTTAATCACCTTTGGGTCTATTGTGATATTTCCACCTAACTCCTTAGGACACTAAAAACTTGAGTTTTAATGATTTTCTGAAGTGTATATTTGAATCTCTAATCTTGGAACTTAAAAAATAATACCCCCAGCCCACAACCAAGTAACAGAGAGTTATTAATTTGTTGATTTGTCTATTTTTTTCCCCAAATACTACTGCTCGAGTCCAAGAATTATACTTCCTTGCAACCTGTAAAAAATGAAAGCACATTTGTTTTAAATTTTTAAATGTCTAAATTCTTAAATTGTCAAAATAATTTTCAGATGAAAAAATGAAGTAAAAAGCTTAGGGTGAATTAAATAAAATACTCATAGACACAAGCACAAGACAGACATGCACATGCAACTCTAATGAATGGCATTATTCTGGAATAGTTTATCACCCAAACTCAACAGCAATTTAGGCTAAGGATACAACTCAGATTCGACTGTTAGCTCGGTACTGACAAAGTCTCCTTATCCGTGATCCACAGAAGGTGAGCCCAGAACTCCTAAGCAGACTACACTGTTGTTAGCAGATCCTATAAGAATCTGTGAGTTGGGGAGGAGATGTTCTAGAGTTTTTTTCTCAGTCAGGTGAAAGAAAAGTTACACTGAATATCCAGACCAAAAGAAGCTAGGCAGAATCTCTCTAACCCTGCTGTCATCAAGTATGTCCTCAAGAAGTGCTGAGTGTATATTGTGTGGGACATGAGGCAGACTTCTCTGATCTCATACTTTTCCTGAAGATAATGGAAAGGGTGAATGGATCCTTTCTTTTTTTTGTTTTTAATTTCGTTTATTTTTTGCAATGTTTCAGAGATGGTTTAATATCCTTTTAGATCTTACAGTTTTTTGTTTTAAGAAGGAAAGAGAAAAGGAAAAATATATAAAAATGATTTTAATGTCAGGAGTTTGATGTTTAATTCTTTGAGGCAAATATATTTATTTAGTTCATTTAATCATGTAATAATAACTTAGAGGAATATATGCTTTTAGGTGTATTCATAAATGCAGATATGTGTATATAATATGTGTAATCATTTGTATATGGGGAACCATAACAAGTATACTACATTGTAACCAGTAATGGCTTATATAACGCAATGTTCTGAATATGTTTCTGTGTTATTATGTATGAATTAGTTTGCTATTATGTAAATTGATACTAGCTATGGCATCACTTAAGACACTGTCTGAGATACTAAACCGTTCAGTGGTTTGTCTGTTACAGGTAAATCTCAGGGGGGTGGGGAGCTCAATGGATTATGATGGAGGCCTGTGGGTGCTTCAGTGTGGAAAGGCTATGGTGACCACACCGGAGAGGGGAAATCCTATACTTTCAAAACACTAGCCAGGATGTAAAATAGAGGCACTTCAATAACAATTAAAAAAATCTTGTTGATATAATTTTATTTTAAAATATTAAATAGAAATAATGGCTAACTTAAAAGAAAATATGATTTTCTACCTGAGAGGAATGGTTTGTATATTGATCTTCTATTATTTGAAGTAATCATAGTAATTTTTGTTAAATATGAATTGTATTGTTCATGACTTGGAATTTTCTTAGTGTTTCTGTCACCACAGCTGAAATTTTTAGATTTTGGAGTTCAGGGCAAACATAATTTAATTCTTTGTCTATTTTGTGGATGTTTCTCTATTCATTTTCATGTGCTTGTACATGAGGCACTTCAAATCTAGCCATTAAAATCAGAAAAGAAATGTAATATAAGAGGGGCCTCTCCAGTGGTGCAGCGGTTGAACGCTGGGCTGCGAAGCTGCCCGCAGCCTCTGCAGTGCCGGCTCGATCCCCGGCTGCTCCCTGGCCGCTAGGGGAGGGTCCCACATGGTGCGCAGACCTCTCCTGCCGCCCGCTGCTCCCCTCAGCAGTGTACCTCGGTCCTTCTGCCTGCTCTGCTCCCCACTCTGGCTCTGGTGAATTCTTTCACCCTCCTGCACTTCTGACTGTACGCAGTGCTTGCATAAATAAATAAATAAATCTTAAAAAAAATGAAATGTAATATAAGAAATACAAGCATTGACTCAATATTTCATTTCAAGTAATTCTACATGGCTTGGAATTTGAGTTTAGTACATGATAGTAAATTTATTTTGTAAACTATTTTGAGATTACGTTTAGAAAAGTGAACCCAAGCCTTCTTAAGTAACCATGTTTTTCAGGATGCCTTGACATACAGGAGAAATATCTATACGGTATAGGAGAAAACATGTAAGTCAGCTTGGTGTGACCTCCCAGAGGACTTAAAAAATATTTATACAGTTTATTTAACTCGGAATGTAATATATAAAAGGACTTGATCTGAAAGAGATACATGTGGAAATCAGTCCGTTGATGTGTGACCTGTCACTGCCCAGGTGTTTTACTGACTGTCAGTGAGGTTCCGCTACCCCTAGTGTCCCTAAGGAACTGTCCATTTTGGGGGGAGGCACCAGATGCCTCTGGTGTTTTCTTATTCATTAGTGATTCACAAGCAGTCCCGTAGTGATACCAATTTTCATTCACATGTTTCTGTAGCAAATTTTTAGCACATCCTTTATCTTATCTGGCAAAGCCCCTGATTTCCAATATTTCCAAGCTTCATGTGTTCCTCATCTTTGTCTTCTTTTCTTAGTCATATTCTAGCCCCACAGCCACCTACTACTTTAAGTGAAATTGCAGTTTTCCACCAATCTTCAAATTGGCATGCCTTCTTGATCTGCTTTCCATTTTCTTCAGAAAATCTGGCAGGAGGACAGGAACACACACACACTCTTCCATCATTTTAGGGCTCTTTCCCCTGGAGGTGGTTCCTTACCCAGATCAGGGACCTGTATGTGAAAAACAGAATCCTTAGCAACAAACTAAGTTGTACTTTCTTTAGAGAATGTTCTGGCTTGGAAAATTGATAGGGTTTTAATTGGCTCTACAGAAGTTGGACTGAAACAGACAGTGATTTTACTACAGAGCCAACCAAGACTTATTGCTCATTTTTGTTTGATGCTCTCTGGAATGTTTTGCAGGTATCTGTCAGCTACCTGTAAAGAACAGATCTAGTCTATTAACCAGAAATAGAGTTTGGGATGCTCAGTGTTGAGTCATGAGACAATCACAGTGGACAGATGAGTATGAAAGTACTTCACAGTGAATGTTAATACAATCTAATTTTTTCTTTGTTAGTTCAGTGTCTAGCTTATTGCTTAGTAGTAATTTTTTTATGTAAAAAATAATGAAATCTCTGAAAAAATAAGATTGAAGATTGACTTTTCTTCCCACTTATGCTATATGAAATGTCTTTGTTCTATATGAAAGATCCATTCAATCCCAAAATAAGAACCCCCTTTCAAATGACTTGTGCGTGCAAATGGCAGCTTCCTCTCTTCATCCCACTTCAGCAACCATATGAATATTTGTGGGGACAAACTCCCAACATTTGATCTAACCTTGAATGTTAGCTCTATTAATTTAGAAGTAGAAAGAAAACATTCTTTTTTCTTTTTTTAGGCAGGAACATTTTTAAATAACCTTTTTTTGCTCTGAAATACCACTCTTTCTATGTCCATATCCCTGCTGATTGCCTTTGTTTCACCCCAATAATTCTACCAATTAGATATTTGAGCTATCAAATATTTTTTGATAATTTGATTTTATATTACCTCTATTTGTAATATGAAAAACTTTGGAAAATTTTAGGGGTCTCTCAGCATTTGCATTTTTATGCTTATTTTCCTAGACTAAGTAGATTATTCTAGCATAAGAGAGTGACTGTTTGAGTTTTGAAGAGATTGGTTTTGTAATCTGGACAAGGTCAGATATTTACATCAGATAATGCTGTGGAGGCTGGAGTAGCATGAAGGTGCAAGGATTTTGTGAAGAGGACTTACAAATATGCTTTGAACTCATGCTGCAGTGTCTATGGATGGCTTCATAGGTTGCATCTTAACCCCTTGCACCATAGGCATAATAAAATAAATCTTCAAAAAATATATATGCTTTGAGCATAAGAATTCCACAGACATTTGTTTTCAATGAGCAACTTAAAATTTTACTTTTGTAAATACAACTGTTTCTTACTTTAATCATTCATATTTACATTACCGAATGAGTTAAGAGGACACATTCAGAGGTGGTTTAGTTTCATCCATGAAATTTCCAATCTTGTCAACAACTCAAAAAATACTGTGGCACAAATCAGCTCAACATAAATAAGTATTGCTTTTAAGCTGAATATTTTTAAAAATTCAAAAAAGTATAAATAGTTCAATTAGAATATATTGGATTGGCAATTTAGTCATGGATGTATAGTAATGTCATATGCCCAGTTTAATGTGTTTGGAAATCTTTTTCTATGTTAAATTTGTTAGCCATCACCATGTCTGGTTTTGATGAGTGTAAGCATTTAACTTGGGCAGAGATATAGTAGTATTTAAGAGCACAGACTCTGAATTGATTAATTTCTGTTCCCATCTCCACCAGTGTTGTGCAAACTTGGGCAAGTTATCTTACCTTCCAGGGCCTCAGTTTTCCCATGTATAAAATGGGAGTAATGAAAGTACCTGCTTCACAGGTATTAACTAACTTAATATATAAAAATCTCTTAAAGCAGTACTTACCATGTAATAATCAATGTTGGATACTAGCTTTTTCTATAGTAATAAACATTAGTTTTTATTTAATGGAACTTTTCTCCAAAATTAGTTTGTTTTACCTTTTTCTTTCAATTGTACAGAAGAAAAAACAAATCTACCTGTCTTTGCAAATAATTCAGGATAGCATTAGTCAAAATAACCAATAAAATCTACCAGCAACACTAAAATCTGTCAAAGAGATTATTTTCCTTCTTGGGCCTGTTGACCACTGTTATGGCCCTTGTACAGTAACATAGGATTTATATTGCGGTGATTTCTTTTTTTCCTTTTAGCTTAGTTTTGATTCATTTAAGATGTTGTTAAGTATGTTTTGTACTTTCATATAGTCTGAAAACACAAATCCTTTTTTCTTTTTATGCCAAAGCTTTATTTGAGTCCCTTCGTAGTAGAGGTTAAATACCCTCAGATCCTTTTGATATCTTAGATTTTTGCTGATAGCTAATATTCTACAAGTGAAATTAGTCACTACCAGGAGATTTGATTTGAAATAAGTCAATCAGAGTATAGTTATAGCTCTACTTGTTATGCAGCACTGTCCAGAGAGAGAGAGAGAGAGAGAGAGAGAGAGGGAGAGAAGAAAAGAAAATAAGGACCCTGTTTTCAAGGTGTCTCAAATTCAAATGACAAATAAACACTAAGCAAGGGAAACTTTGAGAAAACACTAGTTATGAAAGGTAAATAGTGATATAGAAACTGCTATAGCATTTAAATAGATGAAGCCATCAGAAGAAAATAGAGTAATGTGAATGTAAGTACAGTGATAGAAATTTTGGCATACAGAGTATTAAGTGGTAAAGGAAGAAAATTTCTTCCCAGAAGAAAAAAAAAAAAAAGATGAAATTTGTTGAAAGGCAGCAGCAGTGAGTCCAATCTGTACATGAATAAAGGATGGCAGGGAGGCTAGAGATTAATTTGGATTCTCTAAAATAAGAAGAAAAACCTTGTAACTCCTTGGAGGCCAAGAATGTTGTTCCCTAATGCCCAGCTCACACTGGAAGTCCTTGGATTGGAATTACAAATTACACTTCCTCAGCAAGACATTTCATGTGTCAGCACGGCTTTTCTCCCTGGATTGATTGTTATTCTTTATCTCCTTTTAAAATGACATTTCCCTTCTTCTCAGTCTTTCCTCATGCTAAGCCTCTTGAGACAGCTCCTGAGTGAAAAGCCCATCCCTTCTTTATTGACTCTTATGGAGTTCACTAAGTTCTTTTCATTTTTCCTGTTATGTTTTAGGAACAAACCTCCCCAGCCAATAATCTGAAATAGTCTTTTAGACCAGCAAATTTGGCTCTGAAAGTACCCTCAGCAAAAGTGTTTAGTTAACGTGTAATCGCTGTGATCTATCTTCTGTGAATGATCTCCTGATGAAAATAATGAAAAATTATTCAGTTGAAATTGGTTTCCTCTGGGTAGTAGTTTATTGATGTTGATGATTGAGATCTCATGGTTTTCAACAAGATACCCCAAGTGGACCAAATAGACTCAGAGATAGATGAATGTGATGCTATTTTTCAGGCTTTCCTTAGAATTAAGTTATAAAGCACCCTCACCTCACAAAAGAAATATTACTCTTACTACTTTTTTCATAGGTGGGGGCCATCTGAATGGTCTACACTGGTCATAGAGCAAATAAAGACATGCTAGAGTCCCACAAAATGTGTCTGGGCTCTTTGCCATGGTTTTTTGAATAATGTTAGTGAGGACGAAAGTTGTTTTCACCTTTTCTTGGGTAATACTTGTATTTAAGGACTATGGGGGTTAGACAGGATTGCTTAACCTAAGTCTATTTCTTATAAAAACACTCAAATTTTAGAATTCTAACATTGTATTACAATGAAATTCTACATATAGGCTGAGACACATTGACTGCATTTAAAGAAATGCCTGTTGTATAGTTTTAAACTTGCATCCTATGTGTAAGATGGCCTGTAGACTTTTTTTTTAATTGATTACAGTTGAGTTAGTACATCATAGTTCACTAATATCTATAGTGTAGCATTTAGAATAGTCTGTAGACTTAAGAGTGAAATATTGTTAAAATGAGACCGTATTTGCTATGACACTTCATAGTTTCAGAATTCTGAAAATGCATCTTACCTTAAAAATTGACATTTTTACGTCATTGGGAGGTATTTTACTTGTTATTCCTGGTGTGTTCACGGAAATAAGTCATTGAAAGTTTTATATAGTAAGTGGTCTTTGTTTGTTAATGATGGTATTTAAAATATGAAATAATTTTTCTAACCTTATTTTGGGACTTCTGTTTGTTTATATTTAAATATACAAAAAGCCACAAAATAATGAAATTCACTTTAAACCTCAGTGGGACTCTGACTGCATCACTGTGGTTGGCTCTTTTGTACTGAGAATTTTTCTTCTTCTATAGGGTGACCCTGGACAGCCTGGGAATCCTGGCTACCCTGGACAACCGGGTCAAGATGGTAAGCCTGTGAGTACTGAAAGCTTAGTCATCTCCAGTACTGGGATTACAGTATCAAAGGGAAATTTGCATCAGGCAGAGTTAAACAGGCAAGAAAGACATTGTTCAAGACTATTGTAATAGTGAAGAGAAACTGAACCTCCATTAGCTAAAACAGAGGGAGGGAAGGTTTGGAAGTGGATCCAGTGGAAAATACTGGAGTACTTCGGGAGGAAAGTTGATAGATGGAATGGAGCAAATTGAAATTTTCCAGGGTTTAGCAATGTTTTTTTCTCTGATTAGCCGATCTGTTTTTGCTAATGATTGCATTTCTAAGGGATGGCTCCCAAGTCCTTGAGAAAGACTTATCTGGGTTATAAAGCTGGCAAGAAGCTTATAAAATTATTTGTATCTCAACTGGGTAGAAAAGAATTTATAATTACTAGTTTTCTGACGTAAATTTTCTAAGAAAAGAGGTCAGAAGCTAGAGTCAGGAAGAAGCCTGTCTAAAGTTAGCCAGTACTTACCTGAAAGGGTAGATGCCATCTTTATGAATGCCTTTTCTCAGCGCAAGGCTTAATCCATTGCACTCCCTATAAGGTAATCCCTTGTTTTCCCCAAATCCCTTGACTGCATAATTTGTGGGGGACTGTGTTCACTCCATATACTGAAGAAAGCAAAACCTTTAGTCCAGCTGAGGGAAATGCTAAGTCACTCTGTCAATAGATCAGTGTTATAGTTGTTTTTTGGGTGTCTTACTTTGAAAGTGCTACATTTAATGCTACATTTAAAGTGTGAGTTGAGTTCTCATTATCAATGAATAGCTGAGTTCAGACATCTTTTAATCTTTTCCCTTTAGTGGAAGTTTTCAGGTTAAAAATCTTTTTAAAGGTGTTACTATTTCCCTAAAAATACATGCATTGGTATGTACTTAAAATACTAAAAAAATAATAATTTTCATGGTATAGGGTTCAAGAGAACTTAAAGGTCATTTATGACTTATGGAAATGTGAAACAAACCTACTTTACAGCACTTTAGGCAAATATTTACAGATAAGTCCCCTATCAACTTATTTATAACCATCATAGACATTAGGAATTAGCATTTGAATGTTAAAAGAAAATGTCATCAAAAAAGTTATTACATTTTTTATTATGATGAAAAGAATTTTTCTTTAACATGAGCTATTAGCTCTTTCTATATAGCAGTGGGTAAGTTTATTTTATGGGTCAATAATATTCAAGGAACAAAAGAACCATATCAGTATCACAACCATTAGGATAGAAGAGGATCTTTTCAGGTCCCCGAGGGAGATTTGCTGATAACTTTAACACAGCCAACTATTGAAGAAGAAGTGTTATGCTCTGGCCTTTCATAGGAGCTTTGCACAGGAAGAAGTCAGATGCGCAGTTGAGCCTTTCTAGAGAGAGATCCTCAAAAGAGTCTGAATTGGTAACAAAATGGTGATAACTGGAGCATCAGTGAACTGAGGGCCGTGGGTGACTGGAATAATGTGCTCAGCTGATCCAGTGGATTTCATTCTAGGAATGATAGCAACCCATTTGTGAATTTTGAGAAAGGAAGTAACTTGATCTGCCTTACTTTCTTGAAAGATAAATGTTAATATTAAATGGAGAGTTGGTTTTTTTTTTGGGGGGGTGGTGGTAAGGAGACCACATAGAAGGTTATTTCAAGATTCTAAGAGTGAAGATTGGCTTGGAGCTAGGGTGATGTGGTTAAACAGAGGAGAAATAATCAGTTTCTGGATTATTTTTCAGTGTAAAGTGGACCGGATTTACTTGCAAGTTATACATGAAGCATGAGAGAAAAAGTTAAGGGATACTCAGAGAATCTTAGCTTGAAAACTGGATGATTTCTGGGTACCACTTACTGAGCTGGGCAAACTGGGAAAATTTAAGTTTTTGTATGAAAAATCAAGCATTTTTGGACATGTTGGAGGTGTCACCTAAGAGGTTGGATATAAAAATCTTCAGGTCAGGAATATGTTTGAGAATGAAAACACATAGTAGGGACTCTTTTGCATGTAGGTGTAACCAAAACCACACCAAAGTGGATGATATCATTTAAGGGACTAAGTAGGGAGATAAGAAGGGACTCAACTTAGGACTCTCTTACAGAGGGTGAAGTGAGGGTAGAAATTGGGAAAGAATGATTAGAGAAGTAGGAGCTAAATGAAGAGAGTCTTGATTCCCCAAAGCCAAGTGAAGAAAGTATTTCTAGAAGGCGTGGTCAGAGTGTGTCATTGTGTTATGAGGTTGAGAAAAATGAGGTCTGTACCTAGATAGTTGGATTTGGTGTAGGGATGTCATTGAGGTGTTAAGGAGGGTAAATATAAAAGTTGGTTGAAATAGGTTTGTGAAAGTGGAAGAGAAGACAATGACAGTGAATGTAGATGTTTCCTCTGTAGGATATAATGGAGCACAGAGAAATGGAGAAGTGTGGGGGAGGATTGGAAGGTGGGGATATTGTAGCTTTTTTTTTAATGATGAAAATGAGTCAGAGGAGGACAATTGGTGATTTGGGAGATATAAGATATTTGCTGAAAGAAAAATCTTAGCAGGTGGGAGAACATTGTTTCCAGACATTGTTTCCAGAGTTTGGTCTCTGACAGTAAGGACAATTAAAAGTTATATGGCATAGTCTCAGGCCAGCAAGTACAGAAACATTTAGGTGGTATATTTGTAAGAAAAAGGATGAGAAAATTATTATCAGATTGCCTTGTTTAAATTGAATGAAAAGAATAGATTCCAAACCTAACATCTCCTCTTTTGCCTTTATCCTTAACTGTTCTTGTTATGTGCCGACATTACCTTGTGACTTCCCTTATAACCCATCAACTTCAGTTTGAAGTATGATGGGTCTTTGCTGTATTCCCTCACTGACTGCAGCCCCTTAATCTACCAAAGATACTGCCCTGAGGGCCTATGTGAGTTCCGCCTTGATCACAGTGGGTGAGAGGAGTTTATCAAGGTGAGCCCTCTGCCTGGAGGCCCCTTCCTTGGGGATTTCTCAGTGTGTACTGGCAGCTGCAGCATCTTCCCACCTCCAAAGCAGGGACAGCTGTCATCTGTTAACTACCTTATAATGACAGTGCTGCTAAATTATTTAAAGTTTCATTTTTTCACTGGGGAAAAGTCCTGTGTGGTGTTTAGATATGAGAAGTAAACAGATTTTACAAAGGCCATCAGCTCTAGCTTACTTTTTTTTTTTTTGCTTTTTAAAGTGAAGCACTGGAAATTAATTTTAGTTAGCTTGCTGTAATAATCACGGACATTATGCATCTTATTTAAACCATACTAGACTTACTGTCTCATCTCATCCAATATGTATATATGTGTTTTCATGAATGTGTGTATAATTTTATGTATAGCTATACACAGTATCGTTATAAAAACATTAAAGAAAGAACAAACCAACTGTGGTAGATAACATCCACATGCTAATCTACAAGATTTGTGAGTGTTACTGTAGGGGGCAGGAAGGACCACAGTGCAGGTTTTCTGATCCAGCAGACCGGGTAAAGGAGGAGTCAGAGTCCTCAGTGGTTTTTTGCAGGTCTTTTATTGGGGTTACCAGGTACACAGCAGGCAGGGGTGCTGGGGGGCCGGGAGGCTGGCAGGCCTCCCAAGTCTTCACTCTATCTCTCTGCCTTCTTTCGGCTTCTGCTGCTCTTGCTCCTCTCTTGGCTTTTTGGCTTCTGCTGGCGTCTCCGTGACGCCGACCTTAAAAGCCCAGTCTTAGCCCAGGTGAATCCCATCTACCTATGCCCACACCCTACTCCAGGTGCCCGCCATCAGGCATGCATTCAGGACCGCAAGGATCCATCATCTATCCCGATAGCGGGAGGGCAGAAAAGCCTGACATTTTTCCTTACCCTACAGTTACCTTGCAAGGCAAAAGATACTTTGCACATATGATTGGATTTAGAATCCTGAGATGGGAATATTATCCTGGCTTACCTGGTTGACCAAAAATAATCGCCACCAGAGGTAGGCAGAAATTTCAGAGCTAGAGAAGGAGATGCAATGATGGAAGCTGAGATCAGAGTGATGTGGTCATAAACCAAAGAATCTAGGCAACCTCTGGGAGCTGGAAAAGAGGAAACATAGAATCCCCATGAGACCTTCCAGAAGGAGTGCAGTTCTTCTAATACCTTGAGTTTCATTCTGAAACCCATTTCAGACTTCTGGTCTCCAGGACTATAAGAGAGTAAGTGTGTATTTTCTTAAGCCACTATGTTTGGGGTAATTTGTTTCAGCAGCAACGGGAAACCCATACACTAACCCAAATTCCGTTTACCCAAAGCATGACTTTTTTCTTAAATACCCCCCCCCCAACCCCCATTTCTTTCTCTCTGCAGAAGATAGGAGGTTGGGTGGTCAGGCAGGCAGGGCGAGCTGGCCTGGGAGCCAGAACAGCTGAGGGTCATTAGTGTGCAGCCAAGGCAAGCACACAGCGGGAGTGGGAAGGTGTGGGCGGGGCCTCTGGCTGGTGATTGAAGCCATCTGGACTAAGGAAACTTGGATGGAACAATTTGAAGGGAATTCTGCTTTGTTTGGATTTGGTTCTGTGCAATCCCCCTCAATAAGCAATTTGAATCTCTTTCACATTATAACCAGGCCAAGTCAACTGAAGCTTTAAATAGGAAATTATTCCACTCTGGAGAAATACTAATTTTCATAAGGAAAATGCCTTCAACCAAAATTAAAGAGTTATTTTCAAATCCTTCCACTCCTTTCTCGTTTCTCTATCAGTTAAACATCTATCAGCACAGTGTCAGAGCATATTACTACTTTATCATTTTAAAAAGGGATTATAAAGACAGAGGCTGAGTAAATACTTAAAGATCCTGATAGGCTATTCAGAGTAGTACAACCCTTAAAGACAGTATAATGATATAAAATTGACCTTTTTTAAAAAAAGGTCTTATGTAGAAACATATACTAGGACTAGTTTATGACTTTGTAGTTGTTTGCATTTTTATACTGCTCATTTCAGCCTATTTACT